CCCCAGGGGAGAAAACCAGGAGAGGATCCTGTCTAAGCGGCACAGCTGATCCTGTTACCACACAGGTTACAAAGGCTCTTGGATTGCTGTACTGTGTGAGTTCGGGAATGAAGAGACTGTACAGGTATTCCCTATGTGTGAGTTGGTGCAGACAGGAGAGGACAGCTGCCCACAGGACCAGCAGGACAGAGAGTGTGAAGGATGTCTGGTCAAGTGGGGACAGGGAAGTGAAGGCACCAGGATGTGTGACTAGGGGGATCTTCGTGCTTCTCTTTTGGCTGAAACCCAAAGGCCGAGGAGAGTTCAATGGGTAGCCAGAATCCTTCCCTCCACCCATGTTGGTATCACAGAGAGGATGGTAAGATGGTGGATGGGTGGATGGATGGGTGGGTGGATGGCTTTGACAGCCATACTGTCAGACCAGCAACTGTGAATTGTGGATATAAACATGCTTTGGTTTTGGTCCCGGGTGTGGGGAGTGGGACTGATTGACATGGTCCACAGCAGCAGACTATTTGCCTCATGTGGGCTCTGAGAGGAGCTCTTGGCCAGCTGCAGATAGTTTGAATCTGAGGACTCTGGAGAGACAATAAATGCCAGAACCCAGAGAGTGTGGAGGCTCAGAGGAAGAACAAGACTGCTCCTGCTTCCCCCTTGCTGCTCCTGGTTGCTGCTGTGAGACAGGAAATTGGAGATCTTCTGAAACAAGGGTTGGACTGGCTCTAAGGAACCTAACGACCCTAACCAGCAGGAATTAGCTAAGAGGACTGCGCTCCCTCTCCCACTAACCCTTTCTCTCTCCTACCTGGCGTTGGGTTGTTGGAAGGGATTGGGGTGGAGTAGGGAGGAAAAGATATAAGAAATGTAAATAAAAGGGTTTTTTTTTTTAAGTAAAAAAATACCCCAACAACTGTGAGATGGGTGTAGCCCAGTCTCAGTGGACTCCAGATGAGCCTGCTCACGCTGTGGCTGCTCTCACTCAGGGCACACAGGTGGCACGCAGTGACAAAAGGCCTGTGACTGCTGCACTGTGAAGAGGTTGTCTTAGTTCGGGTGTTTATGGCGGCAATGAACCACCACTACTAAGAGCAACTTGGGGAGGAAAGGGTTACTGGGCTTACACATCCACAGCACTGTCCATCTTCCAAGGGAGTCATGGCAGGAACTCAGGACAGGAACCCGGAGGCAGGAACTGAAGGAGATGCCATGGGGACACTGCTTACTGGCTGGCTCCTCACGTCAGCCTGCTTTCTTATACAACCCAAGACCAGGGATGGCTCTGCCCGTGAGGACTGGGCTCTCTCACAGCAGCCATTAATCAAGACCATACCCCCACAGACTTGCCTACAGGCCAATTTTAGGGAAGCATTTTCTCAATTAAGATTCTCTCATTTCAGATATGTCTAGGTTTGTGTCGAGTTGACAAAAACAGACAAAACAAAGCAAAACCCAACTGGGCCAGCCATGAATGGTGGTGTATCTATTTGCCAGGAAGCCACACACAAGCAAGGCTGGGACTGATGGAATTCGAATCCTACACAGTTGGGTGCCAAACCCCTTTCCGGGTCTGTAAACAGCCTGTTTCTCAGTCTCCTTGGAGTGACCGGGAGACTTCTCGTCCATGCATTACCTGCCTCGTTCTGCAGCATCAGGCCCAATAAAGGCTTCTCCCAAGAGGACTTTTGTCCACTTTTGGATTTGCCACCGGTGGAGCAGGCTGAGCTAGATGCTGGAAACTGAATCAAAACCCAGGACTTCTGTTCTGCAAGGGAAGTGTTAAGAGTTCCGAAGAGGGCTGAAGAGAGGGCTCCGAGGTTAAGAACGCTGTCTGCTCTCCCAAAGGTCCTGAATTCGATTCCCAGCAACCACATGGTGGTTCATAACCATCTATAATGAGATCTGGAGCCCTCTTCTGGCATGTAGGCAGAATGCTGTATACATAATAAATAAAAAAGTTCCGAAGGGTGATGGAGAAACTATAGGGAAGCAAGGACAAGAAGGCGAGAGGCTATGGGCAACCAGAGGCATTGAGGGGAGCAGCCGGGAAGAGTGGAGGGTGGAGGACTATAAACCCCATTCCTACAAAAGTAAAAGATACCAGCAGTTAAAGAGCCAAGGCTCACGGGCTGTCTCTCCAGTGGCTGAGTGTTTTTGCTCTAAGCCCAGAGCAGTAAGCCTCTGGCTTACTATGAGCTACGATCTTCCAGCTCTCAAGATGCGCACGTCTGTTTTGGAAGTCCAGCTTATGGGTCAGGGCTATTGAGGCTAAGAGAGCTGCGGGCATGGTGGGTCACACCTATAGTCTTAGCGCTTGGAAGGCTGAAGCAGGAGGATTGCTGAGGAGTTCCAGACCAGTCTGGGCTACAGAGAGTAAGGTCTTGTCTGGCAGGAAAAGGATAGGGAGGAAGAGCAAGAGGGAGGCTGGGAGGGACAGAGGAAGGGAGGGGAGGAAGAAGATTTAGCCTTTCCACAGTTTCTATCCAGGTAAGAAAACAGAACCTGGTTGTGTAAATACGAATGCATGCTTAGAAAATTCTAAATGTTAGAGACGGCAGCTGCTTGGCCTCTGAAGCTCCACGGATTGTTCATCTGCCACCAAAGAGAAACAAACCCAAGCAAGGTGTCAGACTTTGGGCTGCCTGGGACCTATAGGCAAACTTGAGAGCGGATCGACAGGGAAGCAACCCCTAAATCCTAGGAAGCATGTTTGCATCTTTCTGACTGTGCTTTCAACATGTGGAGCTCATAGCCCTGAAAACAACCTCACAGCCAAAGAAAAGCACAGGGACAGGAGCTGGTCATTCCTGACCCACTTGCCATGGAACAAGATCTTCTGGCTGGAAATCTTAGGAGCTTGTCCATGTTTCAGATGAAACCGCCTTCAAAACCTAACTCACTGATGGTCAAAACTCAGGGGCCCTCAGTGCCCCACTGTGGGAGAGTTTGAGGCACTGCTTAGGGCCTGAGATGCTGATAAGGGGCGGTGAGGAGCCAAAGCGATTGTTTTAACCTCCTGGGATGTCATAGCAACCTGTCCAGTGCCCAGCTCAGTCCCAGCAGAGGGCAACCATCTGTGGCACCCACGTTGGGCACAGTTGCCAAGTCCTCCCTCCCCAGAAGTTGACTTTTGACTGACAAACGGCTCCAGAGGAATTTTTTTGGGTCATATCTTGGCAACCACCAGCCCAGACTGTCGAAACCAGAGACTTAAGGTGGCATCTGGCCCGAAAGTCTGTAAGAATTTAGCAACTTCGCAGGGCTGAATGCAGGGGATACCCAGGCACAGAGAAAGCAGAAAAGCTTAGATGCGGGTGAGAAAGAAAATGAAAACATGTTGTTTCCACTGCCACACTCTTTACCAGGAAATCTGGGGCGTTGCCTTGGCACACATGTAAATCAAGTTTCTACAGAGGCAGCAGAAACAGCCAGATGACAGGAGAAACGGCTGACTCTGCTCCTGACCTTGGCCAGAACACGGTGTTTCTGAACTCAGCCTCCTGGGAAACCGGGCATGGTGGGGAGCACCTGTAAGCCCAGCCTTACAGGTGACAAAGGCAGGTGGATCTCTGTGAGCATGAAGCCAGCCTGGTCTACACAGTGAGTTTCAGGACAGCCAGGGCTACACAGAGAAACCCTGTCTCAAAAAGATAACAACAACAAAAAGGAGGAAGAGAAAGTAAGATGCCTGGATATAACATTTTTGTTTGTTTTAGTTTTTGCTTTTTAATCTTGCTATGTAGCTCTGGCTGTACTGGAACTCACTGCGTAGACCAGGCTGGCCTAGAACTCACAGAGATCCACCTGCCTCTGCCTCCCTAGTGTTGAGATTAAAGGCATGGGCCACCACACATCTTCTGTCTTCATTTTTTTCTTTTTTCTTTCCTTCCTTCCTTCCTTCCTTCCTTCCTTCCTTCCTTCCTTCCTTCCTTCCTTCCTTCCTTCCTTTCTTCCTTCTTTCCTTCCTTCCTTCCTTCCTTTTGGGGGTGTTTTTGGGATAGGGTTTCTCCGTGTAGCTTCTGTCTTCTAATATTGGCTTGATTTATCATCATAGGCAAAGGAAGAAGGTGAGCAAACACCAAACATTCTCTGTAACATGTACACTGTGGACAGTCCTTAACCTTTAAGATTTAGAGTTTTCAGTGTTTCCAAAAGCGTTTTTTAAAAAAAAAGTCTTGGGGGGGCTGGAGAGATGGCTTAGCAGTCAAGAGCTCTTGCCACTTTTGCACAGGACCCCGGGTTCAGCTCCCAGCACCCAGCACCTGCAACTCCACCTCCAGGGAAACCGATGGCTCTTCTGGCTTCCACAGGGACCAACACACATGTGTGCGCACACACAGACACATGCAAGCAAACATGCATATTTTTTAAAGTATTGTTAAAAGATTTTTTTATTTAGTAACTTTTTATAGGAATGGAACATTATGGGAGCCATGTAAACACAGGTATGGTTTACCTGAGGCAAACCTAGATGGTTCTAGGTGGGGAGTTAAGACTTTTCCTGTCGCTCTAACACTCCTGGTCTCACTTCCTTGAGATTACTACAGTTAGGTGGATTTTCTTTCATTCTTGAGGTGGTTACTCTCAAATGCTGGAATGGTTGCATAGATCTGGAGTGAATCCCAAGGTCAAGGGCTTGCAAGCCTGCACCCTGGCCGGGTGAGTAAGAGAGAATTATGGCCACCTATATATCACCCATCAGCCTGCTGTCTGTCATCTCTAACCCGTCTATCATCTGCCTCCTCTTCAGTGTCTGTCAATCAATGATTTTTTTTTCTCACTCTCTTCCTTTTCCTGTCCCTCCCTTCCCCTCTCCTTCATCTCCTTTTCTATTTCTCATGGACCCACCGCCCAGCCAGAGTATCAGAACAAGTACAGGGACCTTATCTAGCTCAGAACTCTGCCCTTGGGGTCTGAAACAATGCTCAATACCAACAGACAATAAATGTGTGTTTGTGCAGAAATAGAAACCATCATATACCTTTTCGTTTGAAATAATTTATTTCAAAATACAATTTTTAAAACGTAGGCATTTGTGTGGAAAAGACATTTCATTTAAAGAGCATTCTGGAAGCAGTTGGGGTGCCAGTTGGGGCTAGATAAGAGACACACATTCCAGAAGGTGAGATGTATATCAGAGCTTTCTGGCTTAGATTTTTCACCAAACCTGCTTTGTTTAGGGTTCCTAAATGCTGCTTCCTCCCTTCCACCCACTGACCTGAGGTAGGGGAGAAAGAAGGTTATTAGTTAAAGGGGTTGTAGACCTTTTTAGAAGTAGTTCTTTGGGATGAGTCCGCTCTTCGTTGTCTGGATACCAGCCGTCCAGTCCAAAGGCCAACATGAAGCAGCAGCGCGAATCAGCCTGATCCAGAAGATCGGGACGAGTCAGAGAAAGCCACAAGACTCGGTTGGATTGCCAGAGATTTCGGGGACGTTTTTCTCTGTGTAGTCAAGGGTCAAAGCATGAAGATCAGTGCAGTGATGTTGATCCAAAAAGTGATGTTTTTCTGTCCGTGGGCTTCTATATATCTCCTCTCCTCAGAGTCCACCCACGAATGTTCTTAGCTGGCCAGAGTCATACCCCTTGCACCAGAGAGCTCACAGAAAAACATCATGTGCCCTCTCACAAGCCAGCTTCTAGCAGATCACCACATGGACTCAAGTGAGTCTTCAAAGAAACTCCTACTTCAAGAGCCCCTCCCCCTGTCCCTCCACCCAGGGCACCAGCAAGCATCTGCTGAACTGACCAGAGTGGAGGAATTGTCACACACGACCCGTTTGCTGTGCTGTGTACAACGTTACACACAGGAGGCACCTTTGAGTTTCACTTGTGTAATTGACCCTTGACCCAGCAGTTCTCAATTCCAGAAAAATCAACCAACCAATGAACCAAGCCCTGGTCTACAGTGCTTCCTAACCTCTGGAATGCAAAGATGCTTTTTTCGGTTTGTTTTGATGACATTGAATGCAGAACCAGTACAACGGCCGGTACTTTCCTCCAGCTCCATCAGGCCCCATGAGGATGGTTCAGCGCCATCCAGCAGCACAGAGGAGGAGGGGGCAGCGCAGCAGAGAAGTTAGGATATGGTGACACAAGTTTGGTTTGTGTATTTACCTATTTATTTAGTTGGGCAACTACCAATCCTCTAGTCTCAGCAGTGCTGAGATTACAGGCGCGCGCCACCACACCCTGAGGAAGGTGATGATATTTGAGTCTTGGCTATTATAATTGTATTAATTTTATTACAAATTAAGACTTTTTTGTTTAAAAATAAAGGCAGGGCTTAGCAACCAGTCTGCAGAAATCTAGACTCTGTGGCAGTCGGCCCTGGGGAGCCAGCACACACGGAATCCAGCATGCCACTGGCTACAAATGAAATATCTAGAAACAGAGAAAGGTTACCGGGCCAGGCTTGAAAACCAGAAGGGTGTGGCTGGCAGCACCAGTGAGGCCAGCTACCCAGTGTCTGGGAACTCTGTCCTATCGATGTCCTCTTTATGTGACCTCTGACCTGAGCCAGCCAGTTGCTTGTCTCCAGCTGACTGACCCCTGACAATGCCCCAAAGGAAGCGTCAGAAGGCCCCTGAGGGCTCACTGAAGACCCTCCGGAGAGAGAAGGAGGAAGTCAGTCTATCCTGGGGGGCACAGCTGGGCCAGTTCTGCAGATAAATAAATTGAAGCTTGAGGAAGTCAGTAGCACCCAAAGTAGAAGCCACACCACCAACACCTGGGTGAGTCCTTCCTTCATAGCCCCCTGCTGTACCCTGGGAGCTGTTGGGTTCCTAGCACTTGTCACATGTTGGGGCCCAGCTCTTGCATTTCAGGGTGCCTCAAGGTACACTCTCTGCTAAATAAGCTTCCGTCCCCAGAGCCACTTGACAGGGCCCTTGCTGACTGCTTATGTTCCTCTGTCCCCAGCCAGAGTCCCAACACCCAAAAAATACCCTGGGCAAGAGGAAGCAGGTGGCAAAAACAGGCTCCCGACCACTAAGGCCCTGGCAAGTGGACAAGGTAGGCAGAGACTCTCAGCCTCTGCCGGTCTGGGATGGTGGCAGGAGATACCTCTTTCCCAGGTTAATTGAGAAGCACCGTGGTGTAGACACCACAAAGGCTATCGTCATAAACATTGCAGATAAGCCAACTCTTTGGGGAAACTGAGGTATGGAGCTAGACCTTCCAGAACCCTTGGAGTCTCACATTCAAAATGAAGAGTTTGGGGTTCATCTCTCAACCTAGCAACCTCTGGGGCAGGGGTCACTACAGAAGAAAATCTGGATCGAGATGGACTCCTGAAACCAGTGTCCCAGCGTCTTCCAAGCAAATGAATCCCTCAGGAGGCTGAGGAGACCTCCAGGCGCTGGTACTGGATACCGCTGGGGTTCTGCCTGTGGCCAAAGCTCAGAGGGAACCTGCCAAGGAAACAATACAATCAGAGAGCAGCAGGCCTGCAGCCTGGCCTGGGCAGGAAGTAGTGGACTTTCCTGCCCTCACTGTGTTCTGCCCCTTCCTGGTTCCTTTCTAACATTCTCCAGCCTGCACAGTCTTTGTAGGCTTTTACTGCGCCTCCATCCCAGCTACTATGTCCTTTCCAAACCCAGAGCCAGACCCTTCCATGTCGCAGTGAGGACCTGTTTTGTAGTGCTCACTCTAACACAGTAGCCACCCTGGCCTCAGGTGCCCCTCTCTCCAAACACCATCGCTCCAGCCATGGCCTTTGCGCTTGCTCGTCCCTCCTCCAAGATCATTCCCCCAGCTCTGAAGCTGCTGGCCTTTTCTCCCCACTCAGGTGTCAGCTCAGGCACCAGCTGCCCTTGAACCCCATCTCGCTCATTCATAGAGCTGTGTCACTGATGACGGCAAAGCGCCCGCCACAGGACATCTCGCACAGGCAACCAGGGTCACGTTCCTGGAGAATTCTCAGGAAACCTCTGTGTGACAGCCTAAACCCAAGCACCCTAGCCAGAGTGACCGCACCATGCCCACCTCAGCCATCTGTCTCCTGGAGGTTCAGCCTCTCCCCTCACTCCATCTCCACTCCCCACACTCCTCTCAGGATATTTTTCTCATCACTGCAACACCCTCAGCCCCTTTCTGTGCTCCTGTCCCTTCCCTTTTCTCCCAGGATGCTAAGATTCTGAAATCCCATTTGTCAGCTCCAGGCCTGAAATGGCCTAGATCCATCTGGCTACTCTCACCTCTCACCCTCTTCCCTCCCTCTTCCAGTCCCATGGGATCCCTTGTTCCCTCCCCCGGTCAGACAGTCCCACCTCAGGGGCTTTGTACCAGCTACTCCCTCCATGAGGGATGCTCCTCCCCTCGCCTTTACATGGCTGCCTTCCCCCCTTGCTGGCTAAACTTGCATCTGCTCAGAAAGGTCCTCCCTGACACTGAGCCACAACCCCTGATCCTCTCCTTCTCTGTCTGATCTCCCAGCAAGGTAACGAACGCTGCTCGATTTTTCTTCTCATTAAATGTCGTTGGTTTAGACCGCTCTTCTCTGATGGTCTGTTCGCTTATTATCTGCTCCTTCCCGACTTGAACAGCAGTTCATTGAGGACAGTGACTTGTCATCCTTGTCCTCTGCTACATTCCCAAAGGCCTCAAACCTGCCTGGGGCACAGCTGCTAGGGCTTACTACTAACACCTGGTGGAACACGGATTGGGCTGCAGCTGTGTTCTCTTCTCCAATGCTCATAGACTAAGATTCTGTGGTTTTAAGATTCCAGTACTCTGCAGTTTTGTAATTAATGAATTAAATTTCTTTCCTTCCTTCCTCCTTCCTTCTTTCTTTTTTTATTTGGTTTGTTGAGGCAGAGTTTATCTGTGTGGCCTTGGGTCTCCTGGACTTGCTTTGTAGACCAGGCTGGCCTCAAACTCACAAAGATCCACCTGCCACTGCATCGCCAAGTGCTGGGATTATGGGTGTGTGTCAGCTTTGTAATTAAATTTTAACTCATTGGGAAAGCCTGGCAGGGTGGCTCCCACTGGCAGTTCTAACCATCAGAAGTCTGAGGCAGGAAGCTTGCAAGCATAAAGTTGGCTTGAGCTAGTCAGCAGGTCCCAGGTTAAAATGGACTAGATGGTGGGATCAAAAACAAAAGCTATGGCTGAGCTGGAGCTCAGTGGTAGAATGCTTACAGTTGGTTACATGTGCCTGGGCCCATGTTTAATCCCTCCACCACACACACAAATCCAGGAGCTGGGCCTTAAGGTTGTCAGATGATACAAAATAGCTGAAGAAAAATGGCTTGGAGACAATGGCAGGAGGAGAGGTGAGCTTCTGCCAAAAGGAAGAAGAGCCTGAGGTCCTGAAGGGCCCCACCTCTGAGGCACCGTCCCAGCCCCTGCCCCACCCCTATCTACCAAGTACCTGCTCGTCCGAAACTGCTGCTCTACCTCAGCCAATGACTGTCCTTTCGTTTCAGGAACAAGTAAGTAGACGAAAGCCAGGCCGAGGACAGCAGTCAGCCCATAGAGCAGGAAGGTCCAGGCCAAGCCGATGGCACCTTGGGACACAATGTTGGGAGTGAGGGTCAGAAGCTGAGCACCCCACTCTTGAAGCCCGGCCCACCCAGCAGGTCCTAGGTGTAGAACCAGCAGTTTACCCAGGACCACGGATGGCTGGTTGCAGAGTGGCTGGCAAGCTCTCAGGTAAGGAAAGGACCTGAAAGCCCGAATATGGCCAGCTGTCCCTGAGACTGGAGTCATCAACACAGTGAGGGCAACTTGTGTGGAAGGAAAGGTCCCTCAGAGTCAGAACATCCAAATGGAGGTGTGGCCGGCTGCAAGGACCATGACAAAGATGTCTCCCGAGCTTCTGCTCCGGAAGGCCACAAAGAGTCACCCTGCAAATTGAGCTACAGTTGGTCTAGACTGGACCTGAGCCAGGAGAACAGGAAGACAAGAGCCACTGCTTGAACCCAAAATGGAGGGCTCCTCCCAGATTTAAGGACCGCATCAGAGATGACCCCATGGCCCTCTAAAGTCAGGGGGCCCATGACAGGGAGGGGGGGCCTTGAACGTAGGGACTGTGTAGACAGGGAAGCCAGGTTCTGTGTGGGCGCCTTTCTCTCTGGCAGCCGAGATCACCTTTTCATCAGCCTCCCTGAGCAGTGGGAGCTCTGGGCCGGGTCTGTAGGGCCAGGCTCCAGTCCTCTGACACCTGGCTGGACTTAGCAATTACCCATTTCCCCATCTGTGAGAGGGAGATGAGGCTAGGGCAGGAATCTCTATGGGTCCCTCCTCTCACCCCTTCCTCCCTCCCACTTCATCCATCCCACAGTGTCTCCAGGGAGAAGGCTCCTGGAAGAAGGAAGACAGGAGACCAACATATGTGTGGCCTCTCCAAAATGGCCCCACAGCCTCATGAGCTAGGCAAGGAAACCCTTGACCATGGGGAGTAGAAAAGTAACCCAGGCCTAAGACCTGCCTAGGGTGAAGGATGCCGTTGGCCGTGGGAGAGGCAAATGATCTTTTTGAGCTAATGAGAGCAGGGCCCAGGACTTGGACCGTATCTCATGAGAAAGAGGCACAGGGGCCTGGTGGCCCTTATACCACGAGAAAGGAAAGACTAGGGACAAAGGCCCCAAGTGATAAGCAGAGCTGAGAAAGAATGAAGGACAGACCCTGTGGTGGGAAAAGCCAGGACTGGCTCTGCCTGAAGCCACCAACGCCCACTCATTTAGGTGACTCGAGACAAAATACTCCCTTCTGGCTCATAGGCCGGGCTGCATCAGATTTCGTGCCACTGTGACCCAGCAAATTTGGGAGAAAACTGTCTCTGGGTCCCAGCTGGGCCCACGTGGTCTGGGCTGAGGCCAGAACACTCACCAATGAGGTCAAGGAAGGAGAGGCTGATGAAAAGGTTGGCTGCCCAGTTGAAGCTGTTGCAGAAGGCGAAGGCCCTCCCTCGGATCTCCACAGGGTAGATCTCACTGAGGACTAGCCAAGTTACTGGCGGGTGAGAGAAAAGAGTTTCTGAGTACCCATGAGCGGGGCAGGCCACCTCCCACCCTCGTTAGCTGAGCCCTGTGTCACACTCTTTGCCCCAGATGCTCCCAACTGCACGCCCGATTGTCCCTGCAAGAATCCCATTGAGTAGCTGTGTCCCTGGGATATGGGACACTCAGTGCTAAGAGGAGGGTCATAGGCAAACTGGAATGTCTGGTTTTTATCTGACTCATTACATTCTTTTCCAGCGTCTCAGGGACAGAGCCAAGGTTTGAAGAGACCTAAAGCTTAAAATTTCGTGCTGGGGTCGAGGAAGGGGAGTGGGCTTAAAAACTTGCAAGTGCAATTGGATTGTGGCTGTGTTAGGGCCCCTTGCTATATGCAAGGAACCCTGGAGCCTCAGTCGCCCACCGTTAGAGCGCCAGTGTCCCTAGACCTAGAAGGCCCACTCAAAGGGAAAGAAGGCTGGATTTACCTGCCCCATAAGCCCTCCTACCTGGTCCAAATCCAAAGGAGAAGGCACTCACATAGACCATCATGCAAACCAGCGCAGACCAGCATAGCAGGGTGTGCTCCAGGATGGGGCCCGGGGGACCTGGAGAGGCAGTATTCAGGGCTGGCCCCAAGGACACTGTGGTGACTGGATGGGGCTCCGTTCTCTCAGTGATTGGCAGGACCGGTTGCCCTTGGCCCCCACTGGTTCCTAGCCCTGGTGGTGGAGGTGAATGCACAAGCAGACCCGAGCTGCGAGGCAGGTCCATCCGCTGGCTGGTGTTGGATGTGGCCAGGCAGCTAGGGCCCGAGTCCAGGGACACAGCAAAGCTGACCAGGCCTATGCCACTGACAGACAAGGCCATGAGAGCACATCCAGAAAGCAGAAGGGCCCTGCGGCCCGCACGGTCCACCAGCCCCGTGGCAGTCAGGGTGGCGGCCACCTTCACAGTCCCCAGCCCCACGGAAGCCAGCACAGCTGAGGAGCCCCCTTGGAAGCCAACAGAGCGGAAGATGGTGGAGGCGTAATATAACACGTTGGGCTGTCCCGTTAGTTGCTGGAAGAGCACCAGCCCCAGCCCCACCACAGTCCGGCTCTGCATGCTGTCCCGGGCCCTGAAAAGGTCCAGAAAGGTGTACCGTGGCTTCCCTAGGCCCAGTTTGCTGGCCTCCCTTCCCTGGAGCGGGATGAGGTCTTGGTGGGTTGCTGTGCCCTCTGTTCCAGCAGGAAGGAAAAGGAGGCTGAGAGACTGCAGCAGAGCAGGTGCAGCCGCCCAGCCAAACATGTGCCTCCAGCCCCATGGGGTGCCAGCCAGTATATAGTTGAGGGCGTAAGAGAACAGGATGCCCACGGTGATGCCCACCTCATAGAGGGACACCAGCACACCCCGCTGCCTCGGCCCCACCAACTCTGACACGTAGATACAGCAAGCCATGGAGGACAATGAGATGGCGAAGCCGACGGATGAGCGGCCCAGGAGCAGCCAGGGCAGGGAGCTGGCCAGACCCAGAATCAGGCTGCCAGCGAGCAGCACCACATTGCTCCCCAGGATGGCTCGTCTCCTGCCATAGCAGTCAATGAGGAAGCCGCCAACCAGGGAAGCGAGGAGAGCGCCCAAGAGCAGACTGCCCACCACGAGCTCCTGTTCCAGGCAACTCAGCCCAAAGTCAAGCTGCAATGGTAGCAGAGCACCGGATATGACAGCCAGCTCATAGCCAAAGGTCAGGCCACCCAGCAGAGACACGGAGGCACAGAGTGGGAGGACAGGTGGGCGATGGCCTGGAAAACAAAAGTGACAGGGCAGGGGCAGTGACTCTCACCAGAGGGTCCATGTACCACATCCTTCATCCATCCTTCCTTCTGTCTGCCCACTGTCCATCAATCCAGCAGTCTACTGTTCGACCACCTCTCTGTCCTTTCTTTCTTTCTTTCTTTCTTTCTTTCTTTCTTTCTTTCTTTCTTCCTTCCTTCCTTCCTTCCTTCCTTCCTTCCTTCCTTCCTTCCTTCCTTCTTTCCATTGACAAATCCATTTGTCATTCCAGCCCACAGTCTAACAAACCAGGCAGCCATCTACTCAGCCTGTCTCCACAAGCCTTTTCTCTTTCCACCCATCTATCTATACCTATAAACATCTAATCAGTCAACTACTAATCTTTGGTTTACTTCCTCTTCCTTCTTCCATCAACTCACATATCCATCAATCCACCCACCCACCCAATCAACCAGACAGCCATCTGTCTACTGTGCCTCTTTCCTCCTTCCCTTCCTGCCCCATCCATCCACCCACATAGACTTCCACCTATCCATTCATCCACGCACCCATCCATCCTTCCAGCCAACTCTTCCTTCCATCCAGCCTTCCCTCCCTCCCTTCCTTCCACTAACACACATACTCATCCATCCTATTTTCCTTCCTCCTTCGTGTTTACCAATCTACCCAGTCATGAATTTATCTATCCACCCATCCATCCATTTATCTCTCTGTTTACCCTTTAATTTGCCCAACCATCCCTTGATTTATTGATATATCTATCCACAGATCCATCCGTTTCCCACCCATCTTCATATTCATGTCCATTGTCATGGACACCCACCCATCCAGCATCTACCGCATGCTGGATGTGCTCCTAAGGCTGGCACTGCAGTGGTTTTGTCCAGGACCTGGCACCCAGCCAGCCAGATGGCAAAGCTCACATAATTTCAGGTGAAGACTTCACAGCACCACACGGGGAAAGCAGGCAGTGGAGGAGCGCTGCAGAGTTCTGCTTTACACAGAGGAGTCATCTAAAGCCTCTCTGGGGAGGGGACAATTGGGAAGACCTGAACACAGTGAGGGAGAAACTGGAGAAATGTACCAGGACAGACAGTACAGTGGGAAGAGCAAGTATAGAGGCCCTGAGGCAGGAAGCCTTCGGTATGTGAGCACCTGGGAGTATGTACAGCGGTCCGTGTGTGATGTTCACACATCGTGTCGTGAAAGCTGTGCTCATCGTTCCTTAGTGACTCTCACACCATCCCTCTGCCATCATCAGCCTCATCCACGCAGAACAGAGAGGTTACAAAATGTTGGCAAGGTCACAGAGTAAGGGGCGGAGCTAAGGTGGAGAGAGAGCTTTTGAGCTCTGGGCTGATCTGCCAGGGTGGAGAGATTGGAGTCCAGCGAGGGTGAGCAATGGGAAACTTGAGGTGAGAGAGGCTGACAAGGACCAGATCACGAGGGGTTCTTTGGGTCACCAGGACAATGAAGAATCTTATTTTTTTAGGGGAATGAGCCTCTGATAGCTTACAGGGGAGTAAGGTGATTGGTGGTCTAATTTCAATTTTAACTTTTTGGTGTGGGTTTTGGTTTTTTTGAGACAGGGTTTCTCTCTGTATACCTGGATGTCCTGGAACTCACTCTGATGCTGGCCTCAGAATCAGAGGTCTTCCTGCCTCTGCCTCCTGAGTGCTGGGATTAAAAGTGTGTGCCACCACCACCTAGCTAATCTTAATTTTTAAACACTTGATTTCACTGTTTTATGGAGATGGTAGAGCTCTCTCAATGTCTAGTCACTTACTGTTGGTTTTTTTTTTTTAAGTTGGAGGACTTGAAGAGGATACAAAGTCATTTTAATATACTTGCTAATGGAGACAAGGACAATATGTTAGATAATCAGAAATGACAAGTCTGTTGTCACAGCTAACTAACTGGGTGACACAAGGCCAGTCCCTTCCCCTCTCTGAGTAGTCTCAATGTTTCCCAAGCTTGCCTCAAAATTCTGGGCTCAAGAGATTCTCCTGTCTCAGCCTTCCTGTAGTTGGGACATGCCACTTGGCCCAGCTTCAAAACAGAGAAAGAGTGAATGACCAGAGTCTATAGGAAGCAGTTGTGTGAGCCTGGAGACAACAGTGCTTGACTACAGTGAATGGAGCTCTGGTTCTATGCCCAGACTGCCAAAGGAAAAGAAATCAGTTTGTGGAAATCAGGGTGCACCTTCAGGAAGTCACCTCCTTCCTTAAGAATCATGAAACTATGTGTTCCTATGAGACATAAGCAGGCTGCAGACCCAGCAGACTATAGGGTAAGGCAGGAGGAGTATAAAGAGTCTGAAGCCAGCCTGGTCTACACAGCGAGACTCTGTCTCAAAACACAAAAGGCTTGCAGAGGAGAAGAAATAAGATAAAAATAGCCATCTACAGGGAACAGAAAGGCCACAAGCCCAAGACTGTGGGATGTAGTCAAAGAGGCAGGCAGGTGATTTTCATCAGAAACCCCAAAATAACCTAACCATAAATGACTTCTCCAAGTAAGGGAATGAGAAAAAAAAATGCAAGAAAAATAGCCCCAAGGAACAAGTGGAATTCATGAATTCAAAAGCAGATGTTAATGAAGTGGTGGGCGGTGGGAGAATCTAGGTCACTAAGCCTTGAGGGTTTGCACAGGTTGAGAAGGAAGAAATACAAACAGTGGGATTATAAGGCGACTGTGAGCAGAGACACTGGAGAAAAACACAGAGCAGTGACCCAGTGTTTGTCAGCCATGATCTCCCTCACCCTCAGCTCATATATCCTCAAGGCTGGTCACGAAGGGACCACACTCACATCCCCAAGTTTCCAGATCACTTGACACCCAACCAGTTAAAACTGGAAGCTTTCCAGTTCAACATAAGAGTTGCCAAGATCAATTTAGATGCACTCGGTTCTCTACTCGCTGCTTTTTGTTGCCAAGCCTGCTTTTCACAGATGGATTAAGCTTGGGGCTGCTATGCTGCTCTCTCTCTCTCTCTCTCTCTCTCTCTCTCTCTCTCTCTCTCACACACACACACACACACACACACACACACACACACACACAGATCCATTTCCTGTCATCTAACAGCGGTGCTGTCTAGGAGAAGGTTCTAGAACACAGACACATCTGCACCTGTGCTGCTCATATAGCAGTGACCAGCCGCGTATAGACAACTGGACACTTGAATGGCAGCTAATGTGAGGGAGGGCCTCAGGTTTCATTTCCATTCATTTACTTGGAAAAACAACCTCTTAGTGTCCATGACCTTCAGAATGACATTTCTTTTATTATTAATAGTAATATTAATAACCCATGTGTTTGGGGATTGCCACATTGGTATTGGGTTTGTATAGGTCATTCTTAAGTTATAGGTCACACATTTAAACATAGATATCTCTAGAAGCATCCAGCAGCATCAACCACCCAAACCCCACTCCAGATTGACTGAGAGCAGTCTCTGGTCCAGGTACTGCTTTGGTCACCAAGCTTAATAACTCATTTGTGTCTCACCACAACTTGATGAGGTGTGCTTTGGTATTACCTCTCAGGGAATAAACTCATGGCTAGAAAGTGGACGAGCCTTACCAGTGCCAAAGCCAGACCATCAATGCTCCTAGTTAACAAATGCTTGTGCGATAGGATTTTGTTCTGATCTCACACTCCTGCCTCTTCTCAGCTGTCAATTTTTTATGAAGAGGCAAAATGCTCATGGTGGAAAAATTATTTTGATTTACCTTCTTCCTAGCCCCTACTCACAACATCCCTGCCATCCATTATTCCTGTCCCTGATGAAGGAAGCAGCCAAAAATTGCTGCCTGGCCCCCTTGGGGCCTCACCTCCCATGGTCACTGGGGTTCAGTCTCAGAGGTTCTGTCAGGCTAAATGAGGTGATTGCTATGACTTATGTATGAATTGAACCCACGAAAAGCTGGTGTTGTGGGGGGAAGGGTCCCCCACTGTATGCTTCTCCCCCCATGCTGTCCTGTCTTGATGCAGTGGACCAAGAAACCATGGACTGAACACTCTGAAACTCTGAAGTAAAAATAAGCCTTGCCTACTTTCAAGTTATTCTCTTGGGTATTTGGGTTGCAGCTATGGAAAGTAACTAATAAAGGAAATTGGTGTCAGGAGTGGGGTTGTCGCTGTGGCGATGCCTAGCCCTGTGATTCTTAAATCTATGAAACAGGTCTGTGGGAAGGTTTTGCAAGAGTTTAGAGATATGGACTAAAGAAGCCCAAGAATACTCCTAGGCCTATCAGGGCTTAATGAGTATGTTCAGTAGGTGCTCAGAAGGCCAGAACACCTACAAGAATGCAGGCAGCGATGGCCAGGCTTATGAGGCTTCAGAGACGAATACAAATTCCATTCAGAATTGGACTATAGGCCATTGGTTACTTTCCAACAAAGAAGTTGTGTACAATTTGTCCACAGCCCAAGACTCTTTTGTAAGCTAACTTTTAAAGTCATACTTTAGGCACAATGAGGTGTTCTAAAAGTAAAAACACTTGCTGAACAAGCCTGACAACTGGAGTTTGAGTCCTAGAACCCACAGAAAGCCAGACGTGGTGTCACATCTGTAATCCCACCATTTCTCTGGCAGGGTGGGAAGCAGAGGCAGTAGAATCACACAGAGGCTTGGGGGCAGCTATCCTGGAGCTCACAGAACAACAAAAGCAGCCAGAGAGACCCCGCTGAGGTGGTGGGAAGAAAGCTGGTTACTGAAGGCTGTTTGTTCACTGACCTCCATAAGCTCAGCATGGAACATGTCTTCTGTGCTCCTCTTCCCATCAGTCTACATCATCATCATCATCATCATCATCATCATCATCATCATCATCATCATCATCATCTCTCCCCCTCTCTCTCTGTCTCTTTCACATACACACACACAGAGGACAGAGAGAATTTTTTTAAGTGATTTTTAAACAACTAAGCTGAATGGAAATTTCAAGGTAGTCCAGTGTTCAGGCTATGACACAGCCATTGCTAGCTGCTCTTTGCCAGGTTTACAGGGAGAGTTGGGAGCAAGAGCAGAAGAACAGCCTAGCTTGGGAATCCTGTGTAAAGTCAGGGCTGAGAAAGGCAAGGTCTCTGAAGAGATTCACACCATTAAAAACAAGCCAAGCACACTGTACTGGGACAATAGGTAAGATGCTTTGTTGGCATCTGAGAAATCCCATCCATTGCAGCAACAAAACTATAAGCTTAATTAAAAGGCTTTCCTTGAAGAGAAAGAAGTCTCTGGGGGATACCATGCTGGCCCAGAGCTACCTCGGAAGTGTTTTCCTAGGGGTTTACATCACCATGATCAGCCAGCCAGGGATTCTGAGGCCACTGCAGCAGTGAATCCCAGAGGACCTGGAGTTGACGGCAGAACTTTGTCATGGAGACCTCAGGAAGTCAGAGGAACCAAACCCTCCACCAAGGAAAGCCACAGAGGAGCTGGTGCAGAAAGAGGCACGTGGTCTTTAGTGTCTCCGTTGATGGAGATAAGGTAGTTCAAGCCCATGGACGCTCACCTCATCATGGTGTGAGTCCTGGATGCTGGGCACGGGTCTCCAGGAAGTAAGTACTGACCAACTTTCCGGGTTTGGTTCTTGCTCTGGCTCAAGTTTTCCTTGCTATCCTCCCTTTTAGAATGAGGGTATTTATTCTCTGACAGGGCTCACAGAATAAGCCTTTCTGAACCTCATTATCTACAAATGGGATAACAGCTATCTCACAGCCAGTGTTAGCTACTATCACCCTCCACAGTACGCTCAGTACTCTGGGTTAGGGCTTTCACAGACAATTCAAGTGACCCCACCTACCACCGCAGCTGAAAACCTCCAGCTTCTGCTGTCATTTGGAATGGCATCCAAGGTTATCTTCACAGCCCTCAGAGCCCTACACAATCTGCCCGGTACTCACCTCTCAGACCCCTCCCCTCATTCACTGAGTTGCTTGGACCCCACTCTGCATTCCTTCCACAGGGAAGCTCTTCCCCAGGGCTCGGCAAAACCCTCTTCTGGACAAGGTTTCAGGTCCGCCTTAGCCCCCTATGCTACACAAGGAACACACCTTCTGCCCCTCATAACCCCGTGAGTTCCACGGCATCTAGTCCACTACCTGTCCCCGGCTCCTCTCCTCTGAGACCAGAGCAGTCTCGCTGGGTGCCCCAGCCCTTGTGTGTGGCCTGAACTACATATCACTGAAGACGAGGAACTGACAGTCCCTTTGAATTTCTAAATCCAGAAAAGATAACAGCAATCTTGGTCCCCTGCAGGGGCAAAGACACGCCCTCTTGGCTGGAACCCCTGCATCAGCGGACCTGTCCCCTCTCACTGGAGTCAAACCCAGCACAGGAGTTCTGTATAATCTGTACCTCTCAGTGCCCTGGCCTGGAGCAGTACCCAGCACTGAGGTGCTTAGCAATCTGCCGGCTGGCTTGGCTCCTGGGTGTACGGGCCCCATCTGCAGGACTGGAGTGTCCCCAGACCTGTCTGCAGAGCCCCCAGCATCCTGAGCACCCCGAAGCGACCCTGTCTGCACGCAGAATAGTCTCATTGGGTTTCCTGGGGGCTCCCTGTGGCCAAGCCACTCCCCAGGAATTCAGATGGACAGCAGGGGTGGGGGGTGGGGGAGCACCCTGCCTGCAGGGGGAGGGGGAAGGAGGGCGCGGCTCAGGCCTGCAGCTTCCCCAGCTCTGAATTCCGGGCCAGCGACTTACCCATAGCTAGCAAGTGGCGGGCCGGGCTCTGGGCCCCTGCACGTCCGGGTCAAATCACCGCTGTAGCAGTGGCCGACAAACTTTCCCCAGAGCTGGGGCCTGCGCCCTCCCTCCGCCACGTTGGCCAGCCCGACTTGAGGCTGGGGGGCGGGACGAAGGGGAGCCCGGTACCGCCCCGAAAGCTAATGCTGTGGCCGCCCTGCTGCTCCACAAGGGAGCTTACTTCAAGTTTCCCAGGAGAGACTGTCACTCTGCAAATAGTTTCCGCAGTCACTGCGGCCCACCCACCCTTCACTGGCCTTCCCAGTGTACACACACACACACACACACACACACACACACACACACACACACAC